GGGAAAGACAGGCTCTAAAACAGGGCCAGGGCCAGCAATAAACTTACCCTGATTGCTTATCATCTGAGAAATGGGCCTAGGATGGGATAGGGAATCACTCTTGGCAGTTCCTTACTGAGGTAAACATCTTCGTGGTCTGGCACTGGTGGTGATGGTCTTCAGGTCAGATACATAATAAATGCCTGTGACTAACTAGAGCATCTCGCTGTTCCCTTTCTCTTTCAGCAGAACAGAAGGGAGAACGTGATGAAACTTGTGCTGTTGCAAGTGAGTCCCTGGCTCCAGAGGGAACAAACTTAAATAACAGAAACCAGAATAAACATTTTTACCCTTCATTACCCCAGCTACGTTCTGAGGAAGAAGAAATAAACAAGCTTGGAAGTCAGATAATTAAACTGACAGAGCAGGCAGTTGCAGAACTGGAAGGGAAAACAGGAGAGCAGAACACGGTGGCTGGAGCAGACCTTAATGGTTCATCTGAGGGAGAGTTCCCACTTTCCAGCCCTGACCCATCCGACCCCACAGATCCCTCAAATTCGGAGAACGAACAAACACCTGAAACCGAGGCCCTGAAAGACAATGATGAAACCTCGGAGAGCGATTGTGATATTCCAAATGAAAAAGGGGATCAAAATAGCAGCACTGTGGAGGTGGTGCATCCTGAGGTCCCTGGAAGGCATGGAGGGCTCAGTGTTACAACTGCACACACAAATAACAGCTTTGAGGAGCTCCCTGAATGTGAAAACAAGAAACCATCTGATCTTGCTGAAAATTGTGAATATTTGGATAACAGTTTGGCTTGAGGTATGAGATCCAGGCCCTCAAGCATCTGGCTAATCCTTTTGCAGTGTCTGTGCTGCTGTGAATGTGATCAGTGAAACAGTGTGCATAGGGCTGATTTTTACATTCAACTGTTAATATTTGTCTAATAAAGGTGGTTTTCTGTTAGTTCTGGCTACAGTCTACCAAAAATGTAAATTACCTAAGGGAAAGAATTAGCAATGAGGTTTAATCATGTTGGTTTTTTGTAACGATTTGAAGTTTCTACATAGATTGGTGTAATTTACATTAGTGTAGCAGAGAGACCAATGATAACAATTTCTCATGTTATCACTAGGCTTCTGTAACGTGTTTGGTCCTAGTGCTGGACCATATTGTAATGGTTAGAAGTGCCTACCAAGGATGCAAAATTGGGGGTGATAAAGTGAGAAGCATCTTAAGGCTGCAAGCTTTTGCTTGTTCCTCACACTGCGCTCTATTTCTCTTTATATATAGTGACTTTAAGTACATCCTTGGAATAAAATTGCTATTCCCTTATGGGAAGTTTCTGAAAACCATCCCTGCATATATGTGTGTGTGTGTGTGTGTATATATACACACACATATATATATTTCTCTCATTACAAAACTTTATAGCTTCTCAACTGTACAAATTTTTTCCTTCCCTCTCCCAGCTCATCTCATCAAAAAGCAGGGAGTTATTTCACCAGATCCTGAGAACCCAATTTAATGAAGCTCTGAAGGAAACTTCATCAGAGAAGCCAGAAGTCTTTCAGTGAGAAATGGCAATGCTGTTCCAAAGCAACGAGAACAGCAAGAGGAGATCCAGTGATGCCTTCTACACCTACTTGGCGCTCTCAGTTACTGGAATTGCATTCCTCAGCTTACAGGAGCTGGAACAGCCCTCAGGCTGAGTAACGGGTGGTAGATTTCAGCCTGCTCCATCTGTGCTCTCCTTTTTAAAGGAATCTCTGTCTCTTTTTATTTTCTTATGTTTTGGAATTAAGGGTAATTCTTCCTTTCCTCCTCATTTCACCAGTCTATGGTGTGGTAGAAGGTTTATTTGCACTGTGGCTGCTTTCTAAAATTTCTTCCCTTGTTGATGTTTAGCCATAGGAAAACATTCGTGTAATAACCAGGGAAAAGGGAGGCTGCTGTGTCATTCCCTAGCTCACTCCTGTTGCTGGAGCTGTGCCACTCTGCTCCTAGGAAGGCAGCAACAAGGGAATACTTAACATTGAAGTCAGCAGCTGTTGGAGAAGGGGAGGCAGGTCCTTCCTCTCCTGTTTGTAGCATAAGGAATAGTCTCTGCAGCTGTGGAGCTTCTATGGGCCAGCAGCCGTCAAGGCAATTTTTCTGCTGGCTTGGGACCTAATTGTCTGTAAATGTTCATTTCTCACTCCTAGAACTTGAAACCAATCAGAGAGAATTAAACCAAATTTAATAAAATACTACTAATAAAAAGGAGAATCCCTCCCAGATTGAGTACTTCTTTGACAAATAACTGCCAGCTGCAAATTTTTACAGCCCACTTGTCAGCTACTGAATAAACAGAGTTTATATTAGCAGTACTGACAAACTCTTCTGTATATGGAAGATGAGATAGCAGGTGCTGCCATAATCAAGGTGTCAGAGTCCATGAACAGTTTGTATTCAGCAGAAGAAAGGCCCTATGTAAATTATTACATATAAATATAAGGAATGGTAGTGGGAAGGTGAAAAATGTGGGTTGTCACTGTTCTCATGTGTTTTCCCGAGCAGATGCATTCATATAACCATTCCAGCGTCTGTCTGCAGGCAATAAAGCTGTGCTCACAGCGCTCCTGAAGTATGTTTCCTTTCTCTTTAAAGGTAGTTCAACACTGCAGCATTTCACTGATACTAAGCAGCTGCCCTTAGGAACAAAAAACATCCATGTATTTAAGTGTATTAGGGACATGAAGTAGTGAAAAGTTTTTATTTCATTATCCTAATCACCACGAAAGTTCCTCGTCACCTGAAAAACTCAAGAAGAGTTTAAGCATTTGAAAGATTGTTATGCTGTTCCCATTAATTGTAACTGACTGCATTATTGACTCATTCGTATGACAGTGCTGACAAGTCGAAGAGAAATAGCTGCAGAGACTGAAATCTCTGGGAGAACGTGGCAGGATTTTTTCCTTTAATGCTTGAATGTCGCATGAAGTAGGGTTTTATTCAAGATGTACTCTTTTCCATCTTTCACAGGCTAATCCTGAGCTAAATACCAGTGCAGTCAGAACTGAGGCAAGTGAATAAGGTCAAGATTTCATGTAGCTGAGCTCAAAATGTTGAGGGTGCTATGCTGCTTCCCCGTCCTCTGTCTTTCCTGACCCACAGTTGTGTGAGTTGGCATTTTGCTCCTGGTCCCTTAGCAGCCAGTTAATCCTATTAGTTAATGAAGAACTTGGTGCAAAAAAATCAAGGCAGTAGAAACAGTGCCGGACCAACAGCTTTTAGTGCCTCATTTGTTGATTCTTCTTATGTTCTCACATTCTTTCTGCAAGAACATAGTGATGTACAACTGAACAACTAGGACATCTTCTAATTATCCTCACCCCATTCTCCCTCTTAGATGCCATTTTTTATCTTTGCAATCATTAAATTCCAGTAGGATATCTACATCTATGGAAACCTAATTTTTAGTGCTATGTCACTGCTGCAGTACTGTCCCTCTCCTTTCGGCCCTAGTGCAGGTGTGTTCTAGCTGTGGTTTTAGTCTTCTCCCAGGAACACAGGGCTTCAAAGCCAGGAGACTCGTCAAAGACAGACATCTTTGCTGCACTGTGTGATAACTAACTGAATATTCTTGTCGTTATCTTCCTTGGATATTGTTTTAATTGCTATTGTTTGTGCTATTAGAACTATGATTGTTTTCCCCAGTAAATTAATTAGTGTGTTGTTGTGGACTCAACACTGCTGGGAGGTGGGGGGGGGAGAGCAGGGAGGGGCCTTAGATTTGTGCTCCCTTTTTCTAGCACTTTAGAAATGCAGAAATTGCATTCAAACATATAAACCCTTTGTTGCTTGGCTTTGGGGAAGCACACTAGGAAAGGGATGTTGTGGCAGGGGTATGGAGGAGGTGCATTTCGCAAACTGATTTTTAAGGAGTTTGTCTCACCTAAAAGTGAATTGATGCATGATCTGTGAGAAGGATTTCACCCGAGAGTGTGATGCTGGGGTTATCTGAAAAACAATGTTCGCTGAATTTGTAAAATAAGTGTGTAGGAATGACAGATTAATGACATCTTTTAGAAAGCTGCTTCTTTTCTAAGTGAGACTATTTTTAAGCATATGGGGAATTTGTATAATAAAGATAGTGGCATTTCCTTAATCCATATGAGCTCAGGAATGTATTTCAAAATCTTAACTGAGATTAAGTTGAAAGTCCTCTGCATTTCTAAGAGATAGGATTTTGTTTACCAGCTTCTGTTTTGTAGTTTTACTTTCTCAATTATGTAGTTTAATTTATTTGCAAACTTCCCTTTTGTTGCTGCCTGGGTGAACTGCACAACATGGTTAAACTGTATTAATACATTTTGTCATCTTTAATAAAAACATTTCCTGATATGCTTGTTCTACCTGCTCCTTTCCTTTTCTCCTCTCAGTATCAGATGAATGATAGCCATGAGGTAATGTTTTAGTATTTCAGTGAGATGTGCTAAATTAAAAAAGCAAAAGCTTTATTGAATGAGAGTTTTAAGGCTGAAAATTATCGGACTTAAATCTTTTCACTGTCACTTCTCCCAGTCTGAACTGACTGATTTACTGCCACGTTTTTGTGTGAAGAAACACACTCGGTATTTCTTGACTTTGAAAATAATACTTATGTCTGATCTGTTAACTCTACCCTGTTTAAGCAGCATTAAAACTTCTGTATACAACTGTCCTGGTTGTATACAGACACAACAAAAACTTAGTTACTAACAGGCACAGACTAGAGGCTTTAGGGAGTTTTTGCCAGGGAATGATGATAAACTGGAGTATTCTTTTAAGTCTCCTTTCAGATGTAAACAGTGTGGCTTAGCCATAGCCATGTGGACAATTTAAAATAGTTAAGACTCTGGCACATGTTTAAGAATAAAACCTGAAAATACAAGTAGAATAACGTAATGGATCTAAAGTTTAAAAGAGAAATGTCTGTACTTTCCCTTGTCTTTAGGGGAAGTCCATTATTCAGGTCTTGCAACACAACTCCCAGCACTACTGAAAGCATAAAAATGCTTTCACTTTTCAGACTGGCAGCTAAGTACAGTATAGCGTCTAATGAGAGGCAATTTCTTACTTATTCATACTAACTTCTTTTTCCTTTGGTATCTAACAGCATCCCTTGCAGTGCACAGACACGTTACAGACTCTGGACCATACCCATTAGCACTCTTACTTACATGAAGGGAATCTTTTTGAGAAAGTACATCACAATGTTGAGTTGATGCTGTTTTTATTAATGGGCTTACAGAAAGGATGCTCTACGAAGTGATACACATTTCTTAGAGGAGCAAGTAAATGGAAATGAGAAGCCTTTAGCCATGTATCTTGGTGGCCAGTGGCACAGCCTAAGGTGCTTTGTGCTGCCCAGGCTGTCACCCTTGTGTTGATCTTCACTTCAGCCTAGTTCTGTGTTCTTTTGTTGAGCCCTCTCTTCTTCTTGTCTGTAACCTCGGACAGTTTCTCTTCCCACAAGTTCTTGTTGCACACCCCAATCACACAGCAAGCCAGACGCTTCCCAGCATTTCCGTTTTCCAAACTGGCCTTGTTGTTGCCCTTGCCCATGTCATCTTCCTGCTCATGGATCACAACGGATCTGCCCATGATGGAGTATGGACCAAACATCGTGGCAAAGAGATTTGGTTTGTATTTTCTGATCTTGCCTTCTTTAGGGAAAAAGTTGCCGAAATCCCCTGGGTGCCGGGGATGATTCACGCTGAAGGGGTTGTAGTGTCCTCCTGTAGCATCACAGCCCTTGCTGAGATCCCCAAGCTCGTGGATGTGTATAGCTCTACCAGATTGATTATTATCCAGTGGAAATCCATCCAGGTAAAAAATGGCTTCTAATCTTCCAGATGAGTAATACTGTCTGAATAAGACTTGTCCAGTCACTTGTGGCTTGTCAGCTTCTATTTTGGAGCTGGGCTTCATTTCACAAGTGGCGTAAATCATCCCGTCAGTCTCATTACCAGGCATTACTGGGTAGAGCAAATTCTGCCAGAGGTCATTCACTTTCTTCTGCATGTCCTGAAACGACTCTTGGCTTTGATCAGTTTCTTTGTCTGTCGTGACATCAGAGGCAGTCAGGGCAAGCCAAGTGACCAGAGAAAGGAGCAGAAGCATCTTGGCAATTTGGAGCCTGCAGAAGGTACAAGAAGACACGAAGGATTAAGGGTGTTTTGCAGCAGCGTGGCTGGAGAGGAATCTCGCAGCCTGTGGTGGGGCTGAGCAAAACAGCTGGAGCATGGTCCCAGCGGACCGCTGCTTGCTGAATCTGCCTATTGTAATGACCCAAAACTAAACCAAAACACAGATGCGTGTTTAAGCACACACAACTGATGCCCATGATTAAAAAAGCCCCAGCGATCCTGTATTGTACTCTAGATTTTGATCTTAAAAACCGCCTCTGTTTCCCTGCAGGAAGCAAGTAAGCCAAAGAGTTACTAAATCTATTTCTGAGTTTGTATTGCGACTTTTCTCCTCCCACAAATTCCAGCAGGACAGTTTGCCAGGAGGCTGTTTCTGGTCCATCTACTTAAGCACTACTTAGGCATTGCAAACAGAAAGTAAAAACCCCACAAGCTGGTTACCTTGCCGAGCTGCCGCAGAACCTCTCAGTGGTCGCTCTTTGCCTTTGCTCCCCTAAAGAGAGGTGAGATCAGCCAGAAAGCCAGGGCTGTTTGAAGGTGATGCTCATGGGAGCTGTGTGTTTGTGTCAAAGTTAGGTAACGGGCTCAGGGGAGGCGTCAACCGGGGAACTGGGGGAGGGGATGGAGGGAGGGAGCAGGGAGGAAAGTTTCACGCATTTTTGGTTTGGACAGGGTAAACACTTTGTCCTTTCTTGCTTCAATTGTCAGTCTGGCTCTGGGTCCACACCGACATTCCAGAAACAACGAAGAAAGTTATTGAGCTTTTAGATTAATCTTCGTTTTGATGACTTCATGTGCTTATCTAAACCAAGTGACCTTCAGCGTGCAGTGAGGGGAGATCGAGGAGCTTTATGAGGGCACAGCTGGGCAGTTTGCTCATGTATGTGCTGGTTGTCGTCGAGCTGGTTTGCATTTTTATTTCTTCATTAGTAAAAATTGAAAGTGGTGCGTGAGTAACATAAACTGTTCCACACGGACGAGTTCCAAAGCTTCTGTGCTTTTAGAAACTGAATTCAAACCATTGGTGTTGAGGTACACCTCAGCGATGCTTCTCTGAAGTTTTAAGGGCTATTAGTGCCTGCTGCTTGGGTCACCAAGTTATCTGCTCCCCTGAAGCCTTTCTCTCTTCTTTTTGGAGGGAGCAGTGATTTCATTCTAAAGAGGGAAGTAAGCAGTGCTGAGGCAGTACAACATCAGGCTGAGGCACAGAGACTGTTTCCCAAAAGCTGGCTGGAGCACAGCGAGTTCACATGCATTTCATCGTGCCGTGAGCTGAGGAATGCTCTGCTCTCGGGGACATCACCCTGCCCGCAGTGCTTCCCGCTGCTGCAGCTGAAATGTGGGCTCAGCCATCACAAGAGCAATTGAACAGGCTGAGGTTTCTGCAGAGAAAAAAGAGCAGCTCTTATTACTCAGGAACAATTCTCAACGCGAGAAAATTGCGAAGAAAATTCTTTTTCCCAGTTCATGTCTCCTGCCAGCTGGGTAAGGAATGGGACTGTCAGCTTCCAGAGTGTGTGTGTTAATCTTGCTAGTACTGTATACTACATCAGATCCAAGAGACTTGGTTATCCGAGAGCCACTTTTTTTTCTCTCTGTATGAGGGAGAGTAGAGTTAAAGGAATGTCAGCTGCTCAGATCATTAGCCAGGGACCGGAAATACAGTTAACTTCTGCGTGGAATATTGGGATATTGAATGTGTTCCTTTAGCCCTGGGCTTCAGTTCCTAATCTATGGAACAGGATAACCAGTATTTCTTTTCTTCGGAGTATTTACGCGTTGTTCGAATCACTGTGCTCGTGGGAACCATGCAGTGCTCAGTGGAAGCTGCACTGTAAGGCCGAGAGCCAGGATTGCCTGTCACCCCAGCTCTGCCTCCTTTGCAGCCTTTCCCAAGTTCACCCACCATCAGTCGTTGAGCTGGAGAAATCCATCCTTGCAGCAGGGTGATGCTATGAAATTGGTTAGGTTTAAAGCATTTGAAAGAAGTAAATTGTTTTATAATCAGGTTTTCTACGTATATGCAAAAACTGTTCAGCTGAAACAAGCCAAGTGCAAAGGGGGATGGTTTAAGTTTGTAAAATGCAAGAAGCAAGTGCCCAGTCTAGGTACTATTAGAAAAACTATTTCTTAGCATCACAAACCATTTTTTAAGGGGACACGATGAATGGAAGGAAGAAAAGGGCATTTTTCATGGTTTACTCCCTGAGTCACAAAGTAGCAGACTGAGTTTAACACTTCTACAAGGCAATTTCCAAGTCATTGGTCAGTACTCCAAGATAATTTTAAAGCTTAAGTTGAATTATAAGGCATTTTGAAATAAGAACTAGGGTCAGAACTTTAGCTGGTTTAAATGAATATAGCAAATGCTGCTGACTTCAGTGGCATTTGTGCTGCTTTACACCAGCTGGGATTCTGTCCCTGAGAAAAAAACACTTGCTGCAAAGCTCTTTTTTAATGTACTGCACATGTGGGATCGAAGCAGAAGTGCAGAAGGGTGTAAAGGAGACGATCAAGGGGACAGAAAGGACTGCAGCAAAGCTAAGTGATGTATTTGTAGTGCTCTGCACTTCACAGAATGAAAAGGAAATACTGGCTGTGGGCTGCTGTCGGAAAGATGTATTTTAAAAAGGAGAAGGGCTGATAACTACAAGAAATGCAATTGCCAGGGTGATTTGGCATTCAGTCTGGGTCTGAAAGATGGTTGCTAAGTACTAACCAGGTGTATCATTAGACTCTATTGTTACTCACTGCCTATGTTTTAGTGTTCTGTTAAAAAGAGGTGCTGAAAAACTAACAACCTTTAAAGCAGACACCGGTGTGCTGGTATGTGCTGGGGTAGAGTTCATTTTCTTCATATTTGCTGGTATGGGGCCATGTTTTGGATTTGTGCTGGAAACAGTGTTGATAATGCAGGGATGTTTTAGTTCTTGCTGAGCAGTGCTTACACCGAGTCAAGATCTTTTCTGCTCCTCACACCACCCAACCAGTGAGTAGGCTGGGGGTGCACAAGGAATTGGGAGGGGACACAGCCAGGACAGCTGACCCCAACTGATCCAAGGGATATCTCAGACCATATGGTGTCATGCTCAGCATAGAAAGCTGGGGGAAGAAGGAAGGGGATTTGATGGTGTTTGTCTTCCCAAGTAACCATTACCTGTGATGGAGCCCCGCTTTCCTGGAGATGTGAGGACACCTGCCTTCTGATGGGAGGTGGTGAATGAGTTCCTTGTGTTGCTTTGCTTGTGTGCACAGCTTTTGCTTTACCTGTTAAACTGTCTTTATCTGAACCCATGAGTCTTCTCACTTTTACTCTTCCAATTCTCTCCCCCATCCCACCCAGGGGCAGTGAGCAAGTGGCTGTGTGGAGCTGAATTGCAGGCTGGGTTAAACTGCAACAAGCGGTTAATAGGAAAGCCCACAGTGACCTGGCCATGTGCTTGTACTTGTGTTTACAATCCCAGCTTTTGTCCCAGCTGTGCAGGATCTATCCTGAATTTCATGCAATGTCCTAGAGTCTCCTGGGCTATATGAGACCACATCAAAAAAACAAACCTAACTTTACTCACAGGCTTTGCAATAGACTATACCAGGCTCCCTCACAAACTCTCAATCCATGTTATGACCTTCAGGGTTGGTTGGTGGGTTTGTTTTATGGTGACATCATCCTATCGTATCACCCTGCTGTTCGACTTCACATCTTTAGATTTGACCAGTGTAGAGTTAAACATGGTGAAGAAACACTGCGTAGGAGAGCATCCTTTTGTAGCAAGCCATAGCCTTGTTTTGTGTCTCCAGCACTTGGATTTGCTCTCAGTGATTTTATGGTAGAATGATTCTCCATAAAAACGACACCCAGAGAAGGCAGGTTTTACATCTTCTGCAGTGGGTGATGGAGCTGACTGCTTTTCTCCACGTATGGCTGAGGCTGAAGCTGCTAAAAGAAAGGGGATGTATGTAGCCTAATGGAAGCAGAGTCCAGGTCTTCAGGACCCTCATCTGCTCCTTCACTTCAGGGCACTTTCTGCCATTTCTCAGTCATGATCCCAGCCTGGGAGCCAGTTATGCTGGCGGCTCATCTGGCAGCACTAGGGGCATCTGGCATTTGTTCATGTGTGTGTGTTAGAGACTGCAGGGCACCAAAGCTTCCATACATTGAGTCTGGTGTGATATCATACATACTCTGCACAGCAATTGCCTGCAGGCACAGGACCGGCCTCATATGACATCTGGCATGTGCCGGTACCTGCCCATGAGTCTGCAGGTAAAGCCTGTAGTGCTGATTTTCATCTGTAGAGCTGCCCGATTAGGCAGGATTTGGAAAGCAGAAATGCTGTCAGGGTGTCCATGAAGGTGCAATGACTTTGGCTATTTACTGCCTGTCCTGTTGTCTGACACAGCCTGTTAAGGTCTAGCGGAGCTCCAGTGCTCACAAGAGAAGGGCTTCGTCCTGGACGTGAGTGTTTTCAGCCTGCGTGGTGAGCACAGGGCTGGTGCTGGGCTGCAAACAGCACCTCATCCCACAGGAATCATGGTGGAGGAACTTGTTTGCAATTGCTTTAAGGAGAAAAAAAAAGAAAAGAAAATGGAAAGTCTTGCTGTAGCAAATGGAAAATCTGTCACTGGTCTGGGCTTATCCTTCCTGTTTATTCCTGTTCCTTGACTTGGTGTTTCTATTTAAAGAAATAAAAATATTTAGTGCCTGAGATAAGCATCCATTTATAATATTCTTGCAAAAGAGCTATACATATTTCCAACTTCTCAGGGCATTATCCATTAAAAATCAAGTTAAATAAATATACAAAAGGGAAACAACACTGTTCTCACTGAGGAATAATTTCTCTTGCAAATAGAAGATTGTGCAACTGTCAAACTATTCTAATCAGCCAATTTGAAAAATTTGTGAAATTCTTCCTCTTTAATAGCTTGAGAAGAAATCATTTTGCAAGAGTGAGCGAGGGATGAGCTATAAGTAAGCTTTCTGAAAA